CCGGCCTCCCTCTCTCTCCCCCCCGGCCTCCCTCTCTCTCACCCCGGCCTCCCTCTCTCTCCCCCCGGCCTCCCTCTCTCTCCCCCCGGCCTCCCTCTCTCTCCCCCCGGCCTCCCTCTCTCTCCCCCCGGCCTCCCTCTCTCTCCGCCCGGCCTCCCTCTCTCTCCCCCCGGCCTCCCTCTCTCTCCCCCCGGCCTCCCTCTCTCTCCCCCGGGCCTCCCTCTCTCTCCCCCCGGCCTCCCTCTCTCTCCCCCCGGCCTCCCCTCTCTCTCCCCCCGGCCTCCCTCTCTCTCCCCCCGGCCTCCCTCTCTCTCCCCCCGGCCTCCCTCTCTCTCCCCCCCGGCCTCCCTCTCTCTCCCCCCGGCCTCCCTCTCTCTCCCCCCGGCCTCCCTCTCTATCTCCCCCCCGTCCTCTCTCTCTATCTCCCCCGGCCTCCCTCTCTCTCCCCCCGGCCTCCCTCTCTCTCCCCCCGGCCTCCCTCTCTCTCTCCCCCCGGCCTCCCTCTCTCTCCCCCCGGCCTCCCTCTCTCTCTCCCCCGGCCTCCCTCTCTCTCTCCCTCCGGCCTCCCTCTCTCTCTCCCCCCGGCCTCCCTCTCTCTCTCCCCCAGGCCTCCCTCTCTCTCTCCCCCCGGCCTCCCTCTCTCTCTCCCCCCGGCCTCCCTCTCTCTCTCCCCCCGGCCTCCCTCTCTCTCTCCACCCGGCCTCCCTCTCTCTCTCCCCCCGGCCTCCCTCTCTCTCTCCCCCCGGCCTCCCTCTCTCTCTCCCCCCGGCCTCCCTCTCTCTCCCCCTGGCCTCCCTCTCTCTCTCCCCCCCGGCCTCCCTCTCTCTCTCCCCCCGGCCTCCCTCTCTCTCTCCCCCCGGCCTCCCTCTCTCTCTCCCCCCGGCCTCCCTCTCTGTCTCCCCCCGGCCTCCCTCTCTCTCTCCCCCCGGCCTCCCTCTCTCTCTCGCCCCGGGCTCCCTCTCTCTCTCCCCCCGGCCTCCCTCTCTCATCACACTCACCATCACACTCGCTCACATCACACTCACCATCACACTCACTCACCTTCACACTCACCATCACACTCACTCACTATCACACTCACTCACCATCACACTCACCATCACACTCACCATCACACTCACTCACCATCACATTCACCATCACACTCACCATCACACTCACTCACCATCACACTCGCTCAACATCACACTCACCATCACACTTACTCACCATCACACTCACTCACCATCACACTCACCATCACACTCACTCACCATCACACTCAGTCATGATCACACTCACCATCACACTCACTCACCATCACACTCACCATCACACTCACCATCACACTCACTCACCATCACACTCACCATCACACTCACCATCACACTCACTCACCATCACACTCACCATCACACTCACCATCACACTCACCATCACACTCACTCACCATCACACTCACTCTTCATCACACTCACCAACACACACCATCACACTCACTCACCATCACATTCACCATCACACTCACCATCACAGACACTCACCATCACACCCGCTCACCATCACACTCACCATCACACTTACTCACCATCACACTCACTCACCATCACACTCACCATCACACTCACTCACCATCAAACTCACTCATGATCACACTCACCATCACACTCACTCACCATCACACTCACCATCACACTCACTCACCATCATACTCACCATCTCACTCACCATCCCACTCACTCACCATCACACTCACCATCACACTCACTCACCATCACACTCACTCACAATCACACTCACCATCACACTCACCATCACATTCACCATCACACTCACCATCACACTCACTCATCATCACACTTGCTCATCATCACACTCGCTCACCATCACACTCACCATCACACTTACTCACCATCACACTCACTCACCCTCACACTCACCATCACACTCACTCACCATCACACTCACTCATGATCACACTCACCATCACACTCACTCACCATCACACTCACCATCACACTCACCATCACTTTCACTCACCATCACACTCACCATCACACTCACCATCACACTCACTCACCATCACACTCACTCACCATCACACTCACTCACCATCACACTCACCATCACACTCACTCACCATCACACTCACTCACAATCACACTCACCATCACACTCACCATCACACTCACTCACCATCACATTCACCATCACACTCACCATCACACTCACTCATCATCACACTCGCTCAATATCACACTCGCTCACCATCACGCTCACCATCACACTTACTCACCATCACACTCACTCACCATCACACTCACCATCACACTCACTCACCATCACACTCCCTCATGATCACACTCACCATCACACTCACTAAAACAGTCAGTATATACCACTACAGTCAGTCAATACTGCTACAATCAGTATATACTACTATACAGTCAGTACATACTACTATGGTGAGTAACTACTGGAGTCAGTAGATACTACTATAGATTGAGTAGATACTGTTGTAGAGTTAGTTGTTACTACTATAGTCAGTGGATACTACTATAGAGTCAGCAAATACTATTATACAGTTAGTCGTTACTACTATAGACTCGGTAGATACTACTGTAGGCCCAGTAAATACTACTACGGTCAGTAGTTACTGCTACAATGAGCAAATACTGCTACACATTCAGTAGCTACTACTGGCTCAGTAGATACTACTGTACAGTCAGTAGATACATCTACAGAGTCAATAGATACTACTTACTCTGTTGTATGTGTAGTGGAGTAGGAAAGTGTGCTGGGGAAATTGCACGATTGTATTGATCACACGGACAGTGTGGGGTTATTTGGGGGTTTGCCTATGGTAGGCGTAAACAGCGTGGGTCGCCTTAGGACAGGCACCACGTGCAGAAGCTGAAAGGTGACGTCATCGGTTGGGCCAATCAAGGTAGACGCGAAGCAACGGCGGTGATTGGCTGGGACTGTTGCCGGGACTGGAGAGGCGCCGGGATGTCTGAGAGGAGACAGGTGGTGGATGACGCGTTGTGTGCGGAGGCCCGCAGGCCAATTAATTAACAATACTGTGAAGGGGGATAAATGGGGAGGAGACACAGAGAGTTGGGGGGTCGGAGCTGAAGAGAATTGGGAGTGGGAGCTGAGGAGAGTTGGGGTCCGGAGTTGGAAGCCAGGACTGTGTGTAGAGTTAGCGGAGCTGAAGAAGACGGAACAGTTAGCAGTGGAGTGAGCGTAGAGTTAGCGGAGCTGAAGAAGACGGAACAGTTAGCAGTGGAGAAGCAGTTAGCAGTGGAGTGAGCGTAGAGTTAGTGGAGCTGAAGAAGACGGAGCAGTTAGCAGTGGAAAGAGCGTAGTAATAGAGGAGCTGGAGACGAGGTGTGCGGAGACAGAAGTGAGATTGGGTTTCGCTGTGTGCGACGACGCTGTATAGCGGAGGAGCTGAGGAGGATAGCCAGCAGTGGAGACAGCATAGGAATCGAGTTGAAGACGTGTGTGCGGAGCAAAGCGACGTGATACTGGGAACCAAGGTGGTGAGCGAGACGGGCGAAGCACGGCGAGCGAGCCGTGGTGTCCAGGATACGGTGGAGTGTGGAGAAGGTGTGAAACGATGAAAATAAAGAAGTGGTTGAAGAAAGACAAAAGTTGTTCGTGTAAAGTTCAACCACTACATTTGTATGGTGTGTAGGTATAGATACCTACACGGGGGTAAATATATTTTTGGGGGGGGGGGGGGGGGAGTGTCCACAATTTTCGTAAACCTTTTAGATCAACTATTTACCCCACACTTTCTATTACTTTTTGGACTTTTGCAAGCCTCTTATAATTTTGTTGGTGGTGAAATGGACAAATGGCCCACCGGGCTTGCACAATATCTTGGTATCTGTGTATATACATGTACGGTTTTTAAGAGTAGTTCTAAAACATTTTTTGGACCTGGGCAACGTCGGGTACTTACCGCTAGTAAGTAAATAAATAAATATGAATCGCACCAAAACGTTAATTACACCACTTTAAAGATGACGGATGGCAAAACGGAATAGCCTATGCCAAGCGGGGGGCTCGGGGTGGTCCGAGAGCCAAAATCCCCCGCAAGCGAGTGTACACAGACGGCCAGACAAACGGACAGACAGACAAAAAATGCCTTTTATAGGTTAGATGCAGATGTGTAAGCGTATGTACAAGTACTGGGGAAAAATAGTTACATTTTTCACGACCCTGTATAAGCGGAGTGAGTGGAGCAGTGACGTAGCAAGCTGCATTCGATTCCTGCCTGTGGTGAGTGACAGTGGCGAGTGATCTTTGAATCAGTCCTGCGTGGTGAAGTATGGTGACAAAACCCTTATGCCCGACGCAGCATAGAGAGGCCTTCACTCAGCAATGGATACGGATTATAAAAAGAGAGTGTACATCTTAAGAGAAAAATGCGCACGTATTTTACGAGAAATACCGGCAGGGTGACATAAGGGGGAAAATGTTCAGGGTGGAAAGTAATTGGCTTGATCCTAAAACACATCAATCCCTTGGCTCTACTTCTCTAATCCAAAGGGTCAATGCACAATAAATTAATCTACATTTCATGTCCGTGCGTGTTAATGATGATCATAGAATGAACGTGGCCAGTCCATTGGCCGTCTGTCCATTTGCCTGCAGTGGGGGATTTGGGGGCCACGATGACTCTTGTCAAGATAATCCACTATACCCACAACTTTAGTATAAAGTTACTCAACTAAACTTATTTTACTCGATAAGCCCCACTGAGCTATATAGATATTTTTTCAGTAGCGACCTGGCTAAAAATGATATCTCAACGAAGTCGCTTATCATGTGGACATTTATAGCAGCAGACAAATGAAGTTGGGTTCTTCTTGGAAACTTTTCTTGGAGAAAAAACGGCCAAATTAATTAAAGAGTTGCTCAAAGCACGACACTTAAAAATCAATTCTAAAAAGATTGGACCTAATGTCATCCCATTTTTAACCCTCGGGTCGTGGTGCTATGGTGTGCAGAGATAGAGATGGTGCTGTGGTTTGAAGAGATGTGATGTGGTTTGCAGAGATAGTGTTTTGGGGTGGAGAAATGTTGGTGTAAATAAATGGTGTGATGTGATGGTGTGCAGAGATTGTGATGAGATGGTGTTTTAATTAGCCAACTTTGAGGTAATAGCCAAGCAAAGGAGATCAAAGACGACCCATCACATTTAGAGTCCATGGGGCAATCCACAAAGCGAGGTTATATTGATACTTTTATGTCAGCAGCTTAATAAGTGGGAAATGGCAATATTTGTGATGGTTTTGAAATATTAGTCACAATACGAGTGTGAAGCATGACAATGATGTTGTTTTATGCTTCATATTTTATCCAAAGCAACCCATGGGATTGCGAGTGCAGGGACATTATGTACCTCAGGAACTGGGTCGCAGACCACACTTCTATTGTAATGCGCTGGGATGGGAAGGCCGTTAACGACCCCGACTCTGCCAAGTGCGCTGGTACCAATAACCCTGGACGCTTGTTCCTCTAACGCTCGCGAGTGCATTGGATCGGCAATATTACTCTCACCATTTACTGCACGCAAACATTTTTTTATTTTCTTGCTTTGAATTTACATGCTGTGGATATTTAGTAACATTTTTCAGTTGCAACAGGCTTTTCATTTGTAAAGCTGTACACAGTTACCATAAAAATAATTATCATGTCAAATGGCATGGATGTAACTCAATAACTATAACTTAAATGAGCAAAGCTTTGCAGCAATGTGCGAATTTTGGATAGGTTTGCAAGAGCAGTACAAATTGTAGACAAAGGTGAACATAAATAGATATACTCCAGAAAGCAAGTAAAACAGTTGTGCTTGAGAGGGTGGCAAAGGGGATAGGTCTGATCATGAAAATACGTAAACATACTTGAATATTCAAACCAATGCCAACATGCATATATATACATGCAGATGTGTAAGCGTATGTACAAGTACTGGGAAAAATGGTTCAATTTTTCACGACCCTGTGTTAGCGGAGTGAGTGGAGCAGTGACGCAGTGGCTACCACGTAGCGCTATAAACGCAGCAAGCTGCATTCGATTCCTGCCTGTGGTGAGTGACAGTGGCGAGTGATCTTTGAATCAGTCCTGCGTGGTGAAGTATGGTGACAAAACCCTTATGCCCGACGCAGCATAGAGAGGCCTTCACTCAGCATTGGATGCGGATTATAAAAAATGTTCAGGGTGGAAAGTAATGGGCTTGATCCTAAAACACATCAATCCCTTGGCTCTACTTCTCTAATCCAAAGGGTCAATGCACGATAAATTAATCTACATTTCATGTCAGTGCGTGTTAATGATGAACATAGAATGAACGTGGCCAGTCCATTGGCCGTCTGTCCATTTGCCTGCAGTGGGGGATTTGGGGGCCACGATGACTCTTGTCAAGATAATCCACTATACCCACAACTTTAGTATAAAGTTACTCAACTAAACTTATTTTACTCGATAAGCCCCACTGAGCTATATAGATATTTTTCAGTAGCGACCTGGCTAAAAATGATATCTCAACGAAGTCGCTTATCATGTGGACATTTATAGCAGCAGACAAATGAAGTTGGGTTCTTCTTGGAAACTTTTCTTGGAGAAAAAACGGCCAAATTAATTAAAGAGTTGCTCAAAGCACGACACTTAAAAATCAGTTCTAAAAAGATTGGACCTAATAATGTCATCCCATTTTTAACCCTCGGGGTCGTGGTGCTATGGTGTGCAGAGACAGAGATGGTGCTGTGGTTTGGAGAGATGTGATGTGGTTTGCAGAGATAGTGTTTTGGGGTGGAGAAATGTTGGTGTAAATAAATGGTGTGATGTGATGGTGTGCAGAGATTGTGATGAGATGGTGTTTTAATTAGCCAACTTTGAGGTAATAGCCAAGCAAAGGGGATCAAAGAGGACCCATCACATTTAGAGTCCATGGGGCAATCCACCAAGCGAGGTTATATTGATACTTTTATGTCAGCAGCAGCAGCTTTATAAGTGGAAAATGGCAATATTTGTGATGGTTTTGAAATATTAGTCACAATACGAGTGTGAAGCATGACAATGATGTTGTTTTATGCTTCATATTTTATCCAAAGCAACCCATGGGATTGCGAGTGCAGGGACATTATGTACCTCAGGAACTGGGTCGCAGACCACACTTCTATTGTAATGCGCTGGGATGGGAAGGCCGTTAACGACCCCGACTCTGCCAAGTGCGCTGGTACCAATAACCCTGGACGCTTTTTCCTCTAACGCTCGCGAGTGCATTGGATCGGCAATATTACTCTCACCATTTACTTCACGCAAACATTTTATGATTTTCTTGCTTTGAATTTACATGCTGTGGATATTTAGTAACATTTTTCAGTTGCAACAGGCTTTTCATTTGTAAAGCTGTACACAGTTCCCATAAAAATAATTATCATGTCAAATGGCATGGATGTAACTCAATAACTATAACTTAAATGAGCAAAGCTTTGCAGCAATGTGCGAATTTTGGATAGGTTTGCAAGAGCAGTACAAATTGTAGACAAAGGTGAACATAAATAGATATACTCCAGAAAGCAAGTAAAACAGTTGTGCTTGAGAGGGTGGCAAAGGGGATAGGTCTGATCATGAAAATACGTAAACATACTTGAATATTCAAACCAATGCCAACATGCATATATATACATGCAGATGTGTAAGCGTATGTACAAGTACTGGGAAAAATGGTTCAATTTTTCACGACCCTGTGTTAGCGGAGTGAGTGGAGCAGTGACGCAGTGGCTACCACGTAGCGCTATAAACGCAGCAAGCTGCATTCGATTCCTGCCTGTGGTGAGTGACAGTGGCGAGTGATCTTTGAATCAGTCCTGCGTGGTGAAGTATGGTGACAAAACCCTTATGCCCGACGCAGCATAGAGAGGCCTTCACTCAGCAATGGATACGGATTATAAAAGAGAGTGTACGTCTTAAGAGAAAAATGCGCAAATATTTTATGAGAAATACCCGCAGGGTGATACAAGGGGGAAAATGTTCAGGGTGGAAAGTAATTGACTTGATCCTAAAACACATCAATCCCTTGGCTCTACTTCTCTAATCCAAAGGGTCAATGCACGATAAATTAATCTACATTTCATGTCAGTGCGTGTTAATGATGAACATAGAATGAACGTGGCCAGTCCATTGGCCGTCTGTCCATTTGCCTGCAGTGGGGGATTTGGGGGCCACGATGACTCTTGTCAAGATAATCCACTATACCCACAACTTTAGTATAAAGTTACTCAACTAAACTTATTTTACTCGATAAGCCCCACTGAGCTATATAGATATTTTTTCAGTAGCGACCTGGCTAAAAATGATATCTCAACGAAGTCGCTTATCATGTGGACATTTATAGCAGCAGACAAATGAAGTTGGGTTCTTCTTGGAAACTTTTCTTGGAGAAAAAACGGCCAAATTAATTAAAGAGTTGCTCAAAGCACGACACTTAAAAATCAGTTCTAAAAAGATTGGACCTAATAATGTCATCCCATTTTTAACCCTCGGGTCGTGGTGCTATGGTGTGCAGAGATAGAGACGGTGCTGTGGTTTGGAGAGATGTGATGTGGTTTGCAGAGATAGTGTTTTGGGGTGGAGAAATGTTGGTGTAAATAAATGGTGTGATGTGATGGTGTGCAGAGATTGGGATGAAATGGTGTTTTAATTAGCCAACTTTGAGGTAATAGCCAAGCAAAGGAGATCAAAGAGGACCCATCACATTTAGAGTCCATGGGGCAATCCACCAAGCGAGGTTATATTGATACTTTTATGTCAGCAGCAGCAGCTTAATAAGTGGAAAATGGCAATATTTGTGATGGTTTTGAAATATTAGTCACAATACGAGTGTGAAGCATGACAATGATGTTGTTTTATGCTTCATATTTTATCCAAAGCAACCCATGGGATTGCGAGTGCAGGGACATTATGTACCTCAGGAACTGGGTCGCAGACCACACTTCTATTGTAATGCGCTGGGATGGGAAGGCCGTTAACGACCCCGACTCTGCCAAGTGCGCTGGTACCAATAACCCTGGACGCTTGTTCCTCTAACGCTCGCGAGTGCATTGGATCGGCAATATTACTCTCACCATTTACTGCACGCAAACATTTTATGATTTTCTTGCTTTGAAATTACATGCTGTGGATATTTAGTAACATTTTTCAGTTGCAACAGGCTTTTCATTTGTAAAGCTGTACACAGTTCCCATAAAAATAATTATCATGTCAAATGGCATGGATGTAACTCAATAACTATAACTTAAATGAGCAAAGCTTTGCAGCAATGTGCGAATTTTGGATAGGTTTGCAAGAGCAGTACAAATTGTAGACAAAGGTGAACATAAATAGATATACTCCAGAAAGCAAGTAAAACAGTTGTGCTTGAGAGGGTGGCAAAGGGGATAGGTCTGATCATGAAAATACGTAAACATACTTGAATATTCAAACCAATGCCAACATGCATATATATACATGCAGATGTGTAAGCGTATGTACAAGTACTGGGAAAAATGGTTCATTTTTTCACGACCCTGTGTTAGCGGAGTGAGTGGAGCAGTGACGCAGTGGCTACCACGTAGCGCTATAAACGCAGCAAGCTGCATTCGATTCCTGCCTGTGGTGAGTGACAGTGGCGAGTGATCTTTGAATCAGTCCTGCGTGGTGAAGTATGGTGACAAAACCCTTATGTCCGACGCAGCATAGAGAGGCCTTCACTCAGCAATGGATACGGATTATAAAAAGAGAGTGTACATCTTAAGAGAAAAATGCGCAAATATTTTATGAGAAATACCCGCAGGGTGATACAAGGGGGAAAATGTTCAGGGTGGAAAGTAATGGGCTTGATCCTAAAACACATCAATCCCTTGGCTCTACTTCTCTAATCCAAAGGGTCAATGCACGATAAATTAATCTACATTTCATGTCAGTGCGTGTTAATGATGAACATAGAATGAACGTGGCCAGTCCATTGGCCGTCTGTCCATTTGCCTGCAGTGGGGGATT